CCTTGTCCGGAAAGCATATTATAAGACCACGTCAAAGCGTCGCCGCCGCGCTGTTGATTTGCGCGGGCGGTCTCAGCCAAAAGCTCCTGCCATAATCCCTTCCAATTTAGATATGATCCCATATTAGGGAGAACAGCCTTCACCACAAATTGCCAATCAGAGGGAGTCATATTCATTCCTCCATGCGTTCTAACAGGGACAATGTATAATTGGCATGAAGACCATATTGCTTTACAGACATGGCCAATTCTCGCACTAATAATGCATCTACCTGTCTGTAAACTCTTTCCCTTTCTTCTTCTAAGACGGGGAACATATTTTGAAGTTCCCGGCGTGTGACTGGATCAATGAAGGAGGAGCCGGCACCACAGCTCATAGGCGGGGCAGATGGGGTTACAGGAGGAGGAACCATTAGTGAAATGGCTCCAGAGCCCTGAGGCCATGGGCCGAGCATGGCCGGCGCAGTAGCACCGCAATTCTCTTTCTTCTCCTTTTCTGATCCTCCTCTGTTTTCAATTTGCCTTGATTCCGTAAAGAAATACTGCAGAATACAAGAATTCCATTAGGAGATTTTTTTTTTCAATGTTTTGAGATGTCACTGTATTATTTCAGCATTTTGGCTTCTACTGTGGTTTAGTTGTCAGTTGCCAATCTCTTAAACTTTTGAAGGAAATGCCTTTTTATTTATCTGCTACTTTCACTATTCAGTTTTTTGCTTGTGGTTTTGTGAAATTCATTCTGAACATCTAGATGAACATTTCTGTTTTAAATCTTAATTATTTTCATTTTATTTGAAAGGTAGATGGATAGATATTAAGAAACGGAGAGGGAGAGAGAGAGAGAAGAGAGGGAAAGTTTGTCTATTTGTTGGCTCATTGTCCTAATGCTTGGTACAACTGAGGCTGGACCAGGCCGGAGCCAGGGGCCCTAGAACTCAATTCAGGACTCACACTTGAATGGCAGGGACCCAACCACTTGTACCAGCATCTGCTGCTGCTGCCTCCCACAGTGCACATGACCAGGAAACTGGATCCTTGTAACAGGAGCTGGGGTTCAAACTCAGGCCCTCAGGTATCATAAGTGGCATCTTACCAGCTGCAGCAGCTGCCCACTCACATTTCTGTGTGTTGATGGTGATGGGGATTTCTCGTGTTCCTTGAATCCGTCCATTGGCATCTGTCCTTGTGAAGCTGTTCCAGCCATTCTCTGTTCAAATGACTCTGACCTACTTCTGCTTTCCTCTCATGACTTACTCTTCACATTTTTCCCACCTTCTTCTGTATTTTCCTGCCTTCTTGTGTCTCTGCTGAAATCTGGATTTCTTCCCCTTTATCTTCCATGTTACTAATTCCTTCTGCTGCCGTGTGTGCTCTCTGCTGCTGCACAGAGCTATTGACTTTGCTATCTCATCATGCAGTTACTGAGGAGATATTTGACTCTTTTAGTCTGTCACTTTCCAGAAAAAAAAAATTTTATTGTTTTCTGATACAGTTTAGTTGGCACTGGGGTCTCCTTTCCACCTCCCCCAAGTTCCCTCCCCTTCCCTCTGTTCTCCCCTCCAGTCTCACAAGGAGTGTCTTTCATGATTTTCCCACGTCTATCATGCTGCCGCTGGAGTAGGAGACTGAGTCAGTCATTTCAGTTGTGAGTTCATTCTTGTATCCCAGGGTCCTAATGAAGGTACAATGAGGGCTAGATCTTCATTATTTATGGGCAGTACCAATAACAGCAATAAAAGGGACATTGAACATCTCAGGTGATCATAAACAATCAGTCTCTTATAGATGTTTGATTAATGAATTACATCACAAGACCTTATTACACAAGGTACAGGTAAATATGAAGTGACATAAGGTAGGATTCAGAGGTAATATCCCTAGATTTGACATCATGTTATCTTACATTAGAGCAAACACGATATCTGACCTTTTGGGATTGGCTCATTTCCCTTAGCATAATGATCTTTATTTGGCCCATTTGGCCACACAATATTTTATTTTTTTTAATAGCCAAGTAGTATTCCATAGTGTAGATAAACCACAGTTTTTTTTTAAACCCAGTCTTCAGTTGGTGGGCATTTATATTGTTTCCATGTTCTTGTGATTACTGATTGTGCTGCAGTGAACACTGGGGTGCATGCTGCTTTCTTGTGTAACAAGTCTTTTGGATATGGGTCATGTGGTAGGTGGATTTTCAATTGCCTAAGTGCTTTCCATATTGACTTCCATAGTGCTTGCACCAGCTTGCAGTCCTGCCAGCAGTGGAGTAAGGTTCCTGCAGAAAAAAAAAAAATATATATATATATATATATATATATATATATATATACTTTCATGCTCATTATTTCTTTGTTGACCATGCTTAGGATAGTAATATTAATCTCTGTGTGATAATTATAAGTTTTGAAGGCTGTGTGGGTATCTGCTTTTGCTGTCTTGTTATTTCTCTGTCTCTTACTCACCCTCTCTCTTCCTTGCTTTCCTTCCTTCTTTCCCTCCTTCCTTTTCCTCCACTCCTTCTTGTTCACCTTTCCTTTCCCCTTTCCTTCCCATTATCCCTTTTCCTCCATCACTCCCTCGTCCTCTCCTACCTTCACCCTCTCTTCCTTCTTCCACTCCTCTTCCTTCTCCTCTCCTCCTCTTTTTTCTTCTTCTGCTTTTGCTCTTGCGATTTTATTTGCTTGTATACCTAGTAACCTTCAACTTCTTGTGGCTGGTGCATTTGAGAATTGCTGCGAGTGATTTTGCTTTCCTTTCTCTGAAGAAGCTGTCTTTTTGCTTTTGTTGGAAACAGTATGGACTACATTGAACCAAAAGCCCAGTGAGAGTTCAACTCAGTGGAGCAGTGGGAATTCAAGGTGAAAATCCTTGTGAGAGTCCATCTGTGGGGACAGTCCTTCTGAAATGGTTACTTCTCTTTGATCTCTCCCATCCCCCTTTGCTTGGTGTCAACACAGCCCATTTTGTGGCATTTGGAGATTGCAGAGAGGCAAAGGTAGGACAAGTGAACTTGTCACTTGCCCAGGCCTAGGCACACCCTGATCTCTTTCTGTGCTGGTATGACTACATTACTGAGCATGGGTGTGTGCTGTTTCAGCACAGATCATGCAGTAATTTTAATTCTTCATTGTCTCAAATCCTGGTTCTGAAGGTCTGGGCTAGGGCCTGAAATCCTGCATCTCTAACTAGATGCTAGATGATGACAGTGCACCATCCATAGACCACACTTTGAATATCAGAGGCAAATGCAGCTCTGGGAATTGCAAAGCCTGTCTTTGAAGACCAATATTTTGTATACAAGACTCTTGCTTTTGTACAATAAGCTACTGTCTTAGTTTGGATGTTCTTCAAGGCAGATCCTGGGTTCATGGAGCTTCTTTAGGAGATAAAAGAGAGGACAACAAAGGTGTAATTAGTGAGCTGGCTACTGTTACTGTCCAACGGGGGCTGGAACTAAATGGGGACGCCCCTATAAATCCTTAGTATTATCTCACCAGAAGATGAGGTTCTGAGATATATATCTATCAGTCCCTTTTTCGGTTGGTCCACATTTCTCTTGAGATACAAGTCCCAGAGGTGTGAAGCTGGTGGGTGCTGGGATCTGCCACAACAGCTATGAACTTGGATGGACTGAAGTGGAGCATCAGCTTCTGTATGTGAAAGACCCAATACCAGGCACTGCAAGAAGACCAGTGGCTGGTATCCAGAGCTGACTTTTTTTTCTTTACATTTATTTTATTTTATTTTTTAAAGATTTATTTATTTTTATTACAAAGTCAGATATACAGAGAGGAGGATCTTCTGTCTGATGATTCACCCCCAAGTGAGCGCAATGGCCAGTGCTGCGCCAATCCAAAGCCAGGAACCAAGAATCTCTTCCAGATCTCTCACGCGGGTGCAGGGTCCTAAAGCTTTGGGCCGTCCTCGACTGCTTTCCCAGGCTACAAGCAGGGAGCTGGATGGGAAGTGGAGCTGCTGGGATTAGAACCGGCGCCCATATGGGATCCTGGCACTTTCAAGGCGAGGACTTTAGCTGCTAGGCTATGCCACCAGGCCCCAGAGCTGTCTTTCTTGCCTGCCATACCAGAATAGTGATCTGGGATCAAAGCGTCCAGGAGCTGCCCTAGCTCTGGATGAGATTTCCCTGGTGTAGAAGCAGTTGTACAGCAGCTCTGAGAGCGTGTGAAAGGTCTACTGAAGTCAGCCTGTTCCTTGCAGAGAAGACAGACCAGGAGTGGTCAGAGGCTACCTAAGTTCTTTGGAGACTGGTCCCCACATCAGTCTGCCTTTCCTCCACTCTCAGGAACAGTCTCAAAGTGTGTCATTTTAAAGCATCATAGCTCAATCATCAGCCCTGGGAGAGTCCCATGCTGATTCTTTCCTCAAACCCTGTGACGACATTTCCTGGTTATTGCCCTGAAATGCACGGCCTGCCCTCTTTTATTCAGGTTACTTGTTCTACTGTTGACATTTATTCGCTTAAGCACTCACAAAATCCTCTGGTACCAGGAACTAGCGATTACCCAGAGTACTGGGCAATCCCAGTCCCAAAGAGGCAGAGCCTCCTACTTCCCCTGTGTAGATATAAGGCCTGGGCCCTGTTACAACCTGTCAGAGCACCTGAATGAAATAGAAGCCATTCCTGAAGGCAGGATACGAGGCCTTCTGTAAGCAGGTTACAGCTGTAGCCTGCAGCTGGAAAGCCAGCTTACCTCTGGTCTTCTCTTGCTTCTGAGCCTTTGACCTTGGAGTTGCCTATCATCCCAGGGCTCTGGTCCCAGGTTGCACAGGACTCTTAGGTGCACCTGCTTCTGCCTCCAAGAACCTAAAGAAGCTTGGTGACTTCTGAGAGTGTAAATTCCTGCTGGGGTCGCTGTTGGGTTGGTCATCAGCCTGTCTGCCCCAAGTTAAAACTGTAGCTTGGCACTCACTCAGATCCTCCGCTGGGGTTACTCTGCACAGAAACAATTCCTTGTCCTTGGTAGTTCTGAAATCACCACAATGGCCACAGGTAAAGATTTCAGGGAAGGGTGAAAAGTTGGAAGTGAGGCCAGGGTTGGGTGGTGGGGGACAGTGAAGGGGGAGGGACGTTGTGCACTTTTGTCTAAACATATTTCCCTGTTGACTTCCTCTGCAGCTTTTTCTACACCGGCACCTCTCTTGAGGAACATTCAGGATCTCAATCATCAGGTATGGATCCTTCAGGACCAGACCCTGACAGCAGTCCCAAGGAAGCATAACATGGTTCCAGGTGAGTGGTCAAGGCATGTCAGAGGCAACCCTTTGGTCAGCAGTGCTTTGGTGTGGTTTGTGCTGGGGCTTCCATGTCACTGTAGTTTTATTAACTCATCCTGTGAGAGAGAGGAATTTCTTAAGGTCAAGGATGAATAGAGGGTGAGCACGGGGCTGTCTGTGACTATGGACATGAAGTCAAGAGAAGAGAGCAATAACTCATCTAGACTAAAGGGTTGGCTTGTGGGGAATGGAAGAAGGCTTTTTCTAGGGAACTTTGAGAAATAGGACGAGGACCAAAGAATTGAGTCTACAGGAGGGAATGCTTTTGGATCAAAGGCTGCCTTTTGTCATGGAAAATGTTTTTTAAACAACAGAATGGTGAGGTTGGGTGAGGTAGCAGGTGTTGTTTTTGAGATGTTACCCTAAAATAGCAATTGAACACTACTTTCTGCATTTCTGTCCCAGCCACTGTTGCCTTAATTCCATGCCAACATCTGAATACTCTTGACACAGACAAAGGAACACCCATGTACCTGGGATTAGAGACGCCAAATCTCTGTCTTTTCTGTGCAAAGACCAGGGAGCAGCCCATGCTGCAGCTTGAGGTGAGTACAGGACACAGGACTGGGAGATGCTCAGCTAGCAGAGAGGAACTCATTCATTTTTGCAAAGCTTTTATTTGATGGAGACTTAGATTTTGGACCTGCTGAAAGACTATTTGCTTATATATGTTTACTTTTGCTTTGGGATGCTGTGCTATTGTGAAAGAATAGGAAAAATTATTGGACTGTTTTAAAATGATCTGCTGAAATCTCTGATTCTGTTTTACAAAAAATAGTCTGGTGCAAAAGGAGATAGCTGAAAGGAAAACTTTTAAAGTTATTCCTAATTCCAATAGAACAATACTCCAATAGAACAATGTGCATGCGCGTGCACACACACACACACACACACACACACACACACACACGTGTTAAAACCAGCAAAGGAATTAATCATCACAATGTGGATGGGTTTGTGAAAACATCTTTTTGACAAAAAAAAAGTTTAAAAATTTATAGGAAGTCATAATGCTCTGTAACAAACATTTTAATAATTATAATTTCCCATTATGGACTGAATAATATAGGATTAAAGAAATATAATTAAAGCAGATCTCTGTAGCTTGTTGGGACTCTCTCTGGCCCTTTTCAGGAAACAAACACATATAGACACTCTGTGGGATGACAATTTGATATACCAGAGTGGCTTTTCCTCAAACATCTGTCAGTTCTGGAGATATTCCAGGGCTGCCACAGTGGAGAAGATGGAATGCTATTGGCATCTTGTGGGAAGAGGCCAGGAATGTGGCTAAGCCTCCTGGAACACACAAGACAGCCCCTGACAGCAAAGTCTTACTCACCTGATACGAGAAACTTGACACAAAACAACCATGAGTTAATTCAAAATTCATAGTCACTGTTACCAAAATAGCCTTTCCGTTTCTCCATTACCATCAACAGGTGCTTTATGTTCTTGAAAACTTAAATGGCAATATATTCTTTAAGAGTGAGTCCTGACTTAAGAACCATTGGAATGTGTAGTCTATGATTTCAGTTGCATTTTAGACATATGCAAATGTATTTACAGCACATGATTTTCAAAAAGATTTAATTTGGACAAGAGGCACACACACACACACACACACACGCACACATACACACTCATCTGCTGTCAGCTGGTTCACTCCCCAAATGGCTATAGTATCTGGAGCTGAGCCTGTCTGAAGCTAGGAGACAGGCACTTCTTCTGGGTCTCCCACACAAGTGCAGGGGCCCAAGTCCTGCTGCTTTTTCATATGCATTAGTAGGGAACTGAATCATAAGTAGAACAGTGAGGAGAGGACAAGTAGAACTGGCACTCATAGGGTGCTGGTGCCAACAGGCAGAAGCCTAGCCTACTAAGCAATAGCACAAGCCCTTAGAGCATATGGGTTTTAATACCAAAAAATGATGGGAGGTCTCCAGGCCAGTTTTAGCAAATGGGGAGTATCTGTAAGAGCTGTGAAACAATTCACATGCTATGTCTCTCTCTTGTATCATCTTCTCACCCTGTAGGAGAAGGGCATCATGGCCCTCTATCACCACCCTGAGCCCCTGAAGCCCTTTCTCTTCTATCACAATGAGAGTGGCAGAACCTCCACCTTCGAATCCGTGGCATTCCCTGGCTGGTTCATTGCTGTCTGCTCCTCAGGAGGCTGTCCACTCTTTCTGACCCAAGAACTGGGGAAAGCCTACACCACAGACTTTGAGTTAACCCTACTGCACTAAGGTCAGTCTAGGTTTGCAAGTTCCTCTTCACATCGAGGCATTGCTCTCTCTCCTCCCTTCTGCTCTCTGGGTGCCTATGATGTGAGCTCAGCCCTGTCTATCTAACCCCCACCCCCAGCAAGGGGCAGCAGATTTACCACCATCAAGTTCAATGCTTAGAAACAGAAATAGGTTAACTAGGTGGAAAGTGGTAAAGTCAGCCTGGAAGAGGAAGGGAGAATCTATGGTTGGGCCTTCTATCCAAGGGTGTCTTGCTCCCTCCCTCACTATGTTTCTGTAGTGAGCTAAGTGCTATTCCAGCCTGTGTTGGAAATAATCCAGGAAAAGTGGAGTGGGCTTCTATGGAGGTCACACAGCTAGACTACAGCACTAGTGAACAAATAATAACGACAGATCCACTTACTGTACTTGTCAGCAGGACTGCAGCTAAGAAATCGAAGTGATAATGCTTTTGTTTCTAAGTTCTTGTGTTTGATTTTTCAGATGTGTTGCTCTGTGGTGTTGTATCGACGTCTTCTGGATCCTGACAAGCAGCAGATACAGGTTTCATGAAAATGAAGAGAACAGAAAGAAAACTGAGTCCCTCCAGGCTTTGACTTATCCCTCAATGAACTTACACAGGTGTTCAGAAAGGTCATAGAAAATGCATATAGTATAACTGGATTTAAAAAATATGTTTTTGCGTCAGATAGATTTCTGTTTTAGCTTCATTATCCATGAATTATGTGATGTCAGTCCCCTCGTATGTTCTGGTGATGCTTTGGCTGCAGAGCTGTGGACATGTGTGAAGTGGTCAACTACAGCACTGTCACAGGTCAATGCTCAGAGTCAACTCTCTGAAGCACAAACGATGCCAGCTCAGTTTCTCAGGGATGAATGGCTTGGCACTCTTCGGGATCACAGTCAGTGTTAAAGGCCTTTTCCAGCTTGTGAAGCAGGTTCTCAGGAAGTCTCATTTTCTAAAAGAACTGGGAAAATCAGTGGGGCCAGTGGGACCTTCCTAAGACCCAGGCTCCCCAGAGACAAAGAGGGCCTCCTGAATAGGAACCATACTGCTTTATTTGGGGCCCACTGCAAGAGCACAGCCAACCAGACCACCTCGCCACCTCACCTGGGGAAGGTATCCTGAGACACTTGAGGGTTTTCCCTGTGAGCTCTCACACTGTGCACTGACAAGGCCCCTGCATGGAAAGCACAGTTCTTCTGAAGGCTTATCTTTACATGTTTTCACATATTCATTTTATTTATTTGAGAGAGAGAGAGAGAGAGAGAGAGAGGAGAGAGAAGAGACAGATCCAGAGAGACCAGGATAGAGAAAGAGGTTTTCTATTCATTGCTTCACTCAAAGCCCACTTTTGTTTTGTTTCAGTTTATTTATTTTTATTGAAAAGGCAGATTTATAGAAAGAAGGAGATACAAAGAGAAAGATATTTCATTCACTGTTTCACTCCTCAAGCGGACACAACAGCCAGAACTGAGTCAATCCTAAACCAGGAACCAAGAGCTTCTTCTGGGTCCCCCACACGTGTGCAGAGTCCCAAGGCTAAGGGCCATCCTCCATTGCTTTCCCAGGCCACAAGCAGGGAGCTGGATGGGAAGTGGAGTAACCAGGACACAAACTAGCACCCCTTTGGGATCCCAGCATTCTTAAAGCGAGGATTTAGCCACCAGACTTCCGCACCAGGTCAAGACCCACTGGAGTGGGGCTGATGTCAAAGCCAGGACTCCAGAACTCAATCTGGGTCTCCCCCTGCGAGTGGTGGGAACTTGGGTCCTTGGGCTCTCACCTGATGCCTCCAAGATGCCATTAGCAGGGAGCTAGAACCACAAACAGAGCTGAGACCGGAACCCAATCACTCTCTTATGAGATGTGGATGTACCAAGCAATGTCTTAACAGTCAGCCATCTGTGCGCCCGCCTTATCTTTATTTAAAAATAAAGAATCACATAACCCTGTCTTCCCTGATTACTTTTACAATCACTAAGGGACTGCATTCCTTAAAAATGTAGATAATCAGAAATGTGACGATTTTCATTATAGCAGAGATAATTAAGAGGTTTCAGTTTTGCCTGGAAGATAGACACTGCCTTGACCCAAATTTCCATCCAGACACAATAAATAGTCTTTGGACACCAGATTCTACAGCCAGCTTAGCTTTGTCCTTTCAGAGGACAGATCCTGAGCCGCCTCCCACTCCTGATCTTCTGCAGGTCCCTTTCCACGTAGAATGTATTGCTTCATGTGGATTTTCCCTAAACATAACATTTACTGCAAATCCTACACTAGCTGTTTTTCTAGGGTGAAGAGTGAAATTGAACATGCAGGTCCTAGAAAAGGGGAAAGAGGTGGCGATTGACTGACTTTTGATGAGAGAAAGAATATCCCAATCATATTAGATGAGAAGATCCCAGATTGGAAAGGTATAAAGCTTTGATGGTAAAGGATAGAGGTTCAATCCAAGGACATAGGTGATGCTGGTTGAAAGCTAAACTTAGCAATTACAAGGAGACCGTCAGTTGTTGTTTCAAAGGACTTTCTTTTTTAATTATTTATTTTTGGTGATGGTTTTACAGTTAAGAGGGATGCATGCTCATTTGGATCACTGAATAGGGTGGGAAGGATCAAGGAATGCGGAAAGTGGATGAGACAACAGGACTTCCTTTTGGAAAGGGGAGTTGCTGATGCCTCACACCCCTATTTCTAGGTATGAGCACCTCTTTCATTGAGGGAATCATCTTGCTCATCCTTATTGTTTCTACAGTGGCCAGAACTCATCCCCAGAGGACGCATTCGTCCACTCATTCAGTAATTCATGTCTCACCTTCTAACATCCATTGCCCTGGGGACCAAGTTTCCAATGCATGGAATTTTAGGAATACATTCAAATTTTAGCATACATATCATGGAATCTTACTTAGCTTTAACAAGGAATGAAATTCCAATACATTTCCCAACATGGATCAGTCTTTAAAAATGTTATGTTAAATGGATTAATTCAACAATATAAATACTTTCAGGATCCACTAGAATGGAGTGGAAGTTATCTTGAGTAATAAAATTTATACAGACAGAAAGTAGTACACTAGTTTTCATGGGCTGAGGGAGATGGATGAGATGGTGTTGTTTGGTAGATAAGCAGCTTCAATTTTGAAAAAAATGTTCTGTTGGGGGTGGGGTAGAAAATGATGTCAATGGTTGCACAATGGTGTGAATACTCTTAACGCTGCTGAACTGGCCACTTAAGAGTGATTAAAATGGAAGTGCTATTTCACCACAATTAAAAATGGGAATGCTTAAAAAATATTTCAAGAAAGGGCAAATGTGAAGACACCTGTATAATAAATGTTTGAGGGGGCCCGCACTGTGATACCACAACTTGTGATACTGGGATCCTGCATTGAACTGCAGGTTCACGTCCTGACCGTTCAGATTGTGACAGCTTCCTGTTACCGCACCTTTGAAGGCAGCAAGTGATGGCCCTGGTGCTTGGGTCCTTATTGAATCTGTGGGAAACTTGGGAGTCCCGGGCCTGGGTTTGTTGTGAGTCCATTCTAATCCAGTCAAAGGAAGATTTTCTCTCTCTCTCTCTCTGATGTGCTCCCTTTTAAATAATAAAACAAAACACAAATAAATCATTTTTTTTAAAAAAAGTGACATCAATTGCAAAATAGTGTTTGTTTTTGGAGAACTCCCTGAAAGGGCTGATTCCACCCTCTCTGGGTCCTGTGTCACCAACAGAGCCATGGAAAGGTGGGACTCGTCAGCATAGTCCTGCACAGCTCCCTGTGGCCTCAGGTGTGCGGTAGGGACCCAGTCTCATGCAGGTGAGTTGCTCCAGCTGCTTTGTGGGAGGAGCCAGAGAAGAGGTAGGACTCTTGGGGTGGATGGGCCTTGTGGAGCTTGGTGCATCCCAGCATGGCCTACTTGCTCTTGCCTGGTAAACAGTGCCCCCTCCAGTGGGGCTGTAGCCTGACATACTCCTGGGCATGCGGAGAACAAGGCATCAGACCAGTCCCTTTCTGGATCTGCTGGCTTTGTGTTTGCCTATTCATGATGGGTTCCTCCAGCGTGGCCAGGCTCTGAAGGTCTCTCTCTCTCTCTCTGAGTTACATTCTAGGGTGGGAGGTGTTTGCATCTGATCTGGAGCATGGGAGGTGGTCACCTGGATCTCAGGTAAAGAGGCTGCTGGTGGCTCTGGCCCTGCCCTTGTTGACTCAGTCAGGAGGAACTGCCTGTGGGTGTGACACACGCCAGGGCCTCACCTTCCTTGTTAGTTGCCCCACACACTCTCCCCATCCCAGCCTGTAGAACTGGCCCTTCCCTAGTCCTCTGCCCCACCCTCTGGAAGGTGACAAGGGTCCAAGCAAGGATCACAAAAGCGGCACACTCCTGGTTCAGTGCCCAGCTATAGCATTGTGCACCCTGGCCCACAAATCTCCCTCTGGTTTCAAATGTGGTGTGAGCTGAACAGCCCTTCCCTCTTCATCACTCACTATGAGGATAGCAGAGTATGGCTGGGTGGGAAAGCATCCTGGGCTGTGGCTGGAGGTCCACTCCGCTCATGGTCCCTGGGGGCTTGTGGCTGAGTTCTAAGGCTCTCATGGATATTCCAAGTCACCAGAAGTCACCCCAGAGAGGAATGAAATCCCTCCCCACCTGTGCCATGCCAATGTTTGCCACGCTCTGCCATGTCAGGTGCCGTCCTTTGTCTTTGACCAACTCTGTTGTCTCTATTGTTTTGTCTAGTCACCCTCAGTTCGTTAGGCAAAGACAATCAGCCAGGGAGAGACACTAGCCCTTTCTCTGCCATCTACTTCTGCATTGCTTGAGATGTAAGTACAATAAGCTTTATAGGCTTACACTGGGGGATGGAGGAGGGTTAGTATGGAATCAAACTTCTAGAAAGCCAGTCCTAGGTTCATTGCTTATTGGTTTTGTGACCTTAGATGACTTACCCTCTCTAAGCCTCCTTTTGTCTTCAGTTAAATGGGATTGAGAATGGCATTTGCTTCACAGGGCTGAGGTGACAAGGAGACGGGACAAGAGCTATCCCGTCAGTGCCTGACAAAGTGGATGGGCAGCATCCACTTTGTCAACATTTCCTGCAATTAATTTGAGAACCCTACAGTGTGTGGGGAGTCTGTCAGCTGGGCTGAGTTAGGTCACTTTGGGACCTTTCTCCTTTCTGCATCAGGAAATCCAGCACACACAGGAAGCAACTGCCTTTTAGCTCCTAGTCTCAGATGTAAGTCCTTTTAAACGTGAGCTCTGCCGTTTCTTGGCATCCTCTTTCCATTGGGGGTGTGGGGGGTGGGGAGATTGAGGCAGTGGGTGATTGTTGGTCTGTGCTATATGCTGACATGGCTTTTTAAGCCTCTGTGTCATCTAGTCCTTGTGACACAGCAGGGATGGGATGTCACATCCTTTCTGTGGAGAAACAAAAATTAGGAGGATGAGGCATGAGATCAGAACAATGAAGTAGATTTCTCAGGACTGTGAAGATGATGATGATAGCAGTGATGGTAAGGATTGCATGGTAAAGCTGACCCTACCTGATATGTGCCAGGCATTCTTCTAAACATATCATATATCTTAACTCATTTAATCCTAAAACCAAAAGCAAGCATGAATTTTATTGTCATTTTAGACATGAAAATTTTAAACACAGAAAGGTTGTATCACTTGACCAAAGAACAGAGTCCAGCAAACTTTTTCTGTAAAAGACCAGGTAATAAATGTTCAGTTTTGTAGACCATCTAGTCTCTGTCTTGAACATTCACTCTGTAATTCGAGATTTAAGGTCAACCAGTGAACTTGGCTCTGTGGCCATAAAACTTGGTGTAAAACCAACAATGGGCCAGTCTTGGCTCACAGACCAGTGTTGCCTCCTCTTAGCTATTGCATCAAGAGGACCTAGAAGCATCAACCTCCCCTGAGGATGAAGAGCCATGAACAAATCATGAGATGATTCCCTGGCTGTCCTTGTATGTGAAGTAAACAACTCATTTGGCACTATTGCAACATTTATTGAAGACAAATTTTATATCAAGTGCCACCGTAGGTGTTCAGAACACACCAATCAACATGCCTCCCCTTGGGTGAGCTGATCGTCCAGCACCACTGGGTGGGGAAATCCAATACATGATAATATGGGGTGAGTTATACAGTATGCTAAATGATGCTGAGCACCAGGGAAAGCAGTGAAACCTGAGAAGGAGACTATGAGTGATGGGGGAAGCCCCGAATGCTGATGTAGTCCTCACTGAGGAGGTGGAATTGCAGCAAAGACCTAAAGGAGGTGTGGGAGGGAGCTGTACTGATGCCTGGTTGACTTTCCAAGAAGGTAAAGGCAGTGTAAAGGCCCTGGGGAAGCAGGAGGTTTGGGTTGCTTGGTGGTGGCTGGGTCGGGGGTGCAGGTAGCAAGAGGCCCACATGCTGTTGTTCTTCCTTGAGGAGGAAGGAGAGGAGTTACTGCATGCTCTGTTGTGCAGAGCCTCAGAGGATGTGTCTTACTCTCAGAGATATGGGGACCAGAGAAGTGACAATATCTGACTAGGAGTGTAAAACGGCCAATGTACTGTTGTACGTTGGGTTCAATTGATTTGGACTCAGGTTACCTCGGTCCACTACCAGTTACTGGCCCAGCACCACCAATATGATAGTTCTTTTTATGCCAAACTTCCATATCAGCAAAACAGAGATAATCATAGAAGTAACTCCAATGGGGGCCCGATGTGATAGCCTAGCAGCTGAAGTCCTCGCCTTGAACACGCCAGGATCCCATGTGGATGCCGGTTTTGTTTCCAGTGGTCCTGCTTCCCATCCAGCTCCATGCTTGTGGTCTGGGAAAGCAGTTGATGACAGCCCAAAGCCTTGGGACACTGCACCTGCGTGAGAGACCCAGAAGAGGCTCCGGACTCCTGGCTTTGGATTGACGCCACTCCAGCCATTGTGACCACTAGGGGAGTAAACCAATGGACAGAAGATCTTTGTCTCTGTCTCTCCTCCTCTCTGTATATCTGCCTTTCTAATAAAAATGAATAAATCTTTAAAAAGTAAATCCATTGGTAAATTATGAACATGAAATGAAAAATGCCAGGCAAGTCACTGAATAAATTCCAGAAATGCCATGATACTTATTGATGAATACAGTAAATATGAATATTAATTATTTTGGCTATGATAGACTGTATCTCCCTGATAGGAATTTTCAGGCTTACTGTGATCAGCTGTGCTCACACACTCACATACGTGACTCTACGTGGAATGTTAGGTCTACAAACCTCTATCAAGAGCAAGAGGCACATCACCTCTGGAGTCCTACTGCTCTCATCAAAAGTGGTGCTGAGTCACCGTGGAGGGCTCTGCCCCTGCTGAAGTCTGGCAATTTGGGAGTGCACATGCCCATGCAGAGTTGGGCTGTTTGCTGAGAAGCAAGGGTACCCACTGATGACTGTGCAGAACGAATAAAAAGGCAGACATTCCTAATAGTGATGGCTAGGTGTATTCTAACCCATCGGTATTTAACACGTGATCCCCAAACTTTTTACCTTGAAGCTGGAACCATCAGTTTTCCAAATCAGTTTTGAGAATCAGATGTAAATAAACAGAGTTTGCCAGGGTTCTATCTTGAGACTTCTTGGTTGTAGGTCAGATGTCAGCCAAGGCTGCTGTCATCTGAAAACTCAACTGGGGCTGAAGGATCTGTTTCTGAGGTCGCTCACGTGCAGGCTGTGCCTGGAAATCACCTGCCTTCACCACGTGGGCCACTCTGTCGCATGGCCTGAATGTCCTTACCACTTGGTACTTGGCATCCCCCAGGTGAGCAGCTGAAGAAAGAACAAGAGGGAAGAAGCAAAACCTTTTAAGACCTAACATCTTGGGGGGAACACAATCACTTCTACCATGAAACATGGTCATTAGGAACAAGTCGTAAAGTCCAGTCTACATTACAGGAAGTGAAAATTAAGCTTCATTCCTTAAAGGATGACATATCCCAGAATTTATGGACAGACAAGGGGTACATGGAAAATGTATAGTATTTAAAAACAATGCATGAAAAAAGTAAAAACTATGCATGCAAAAAACTTATGTATGGATTTCAAAAAATATTTATACAAATTGCTTTTTTAAAAAGATTATTTTATTTGAAAGTAAGAGACACATCCACTGGTTCAATGCCTCCAACAGCCGGCAGTAGACCAAGTGAAAACCAGGAGTTTGAAACACAATCTGGGTGTGCCACATGGGTCGCATGGAACTTAGTACTTTTCCATTTGATGATTCACAGCCCCCAAATGGATAGAATGGCTGGGGCTGGGCCTGGTGGAAGCCAGGAGCTTGCAACTCTGTCCAGGCATGCTACATGCATGGCAGAGACACAAACACTCAGACCATCTTGTATTTCTTTCCCAGGCATATTAGCAGGTAGCTGGATCAGAAGCAGGGTAGCCGGGACTCAACACTGCACTCATAAGGGATGCTGGTAGCATGGACAACTTAGCTGCATCACAACCCAGGTCTCTGACTGGACTTTTTTTTTTTAATAGTGCATTCACAGAAGACACTTACTATTCACATTTTGCTGGTCTGGATTTTCAGGTTTTTCTACAATGAATTCTTAGCCTACACATTCCCTGGGTGGGGAGAGTCCCGCCTCCAGCATCTCCCAAAGGCCTGGCAAAGGAAGAAAGGAGACAGAAGGGAGAGAGCAGGCAGGCAGGAAGGATGGGTAGAAGAGAAATGAGCTGTCTTTCTTGAGCTGCTCAGCAGATGCTTGGAAAACCCAGGATTGCTGGGAAGGGACTGTCTCTCCAAAGCTTCCTTCCATGCCTGCTGGTGCAAGAGCATGAGTGAGCGTGAGCAGCAGGTGTTTCTGGAGGCTCAGGTGGTGCACACTCACTCTGGAAAGCCCTGCTCCTCCCCAGGTGGCAGCAGTTTCAGGCTCCTCCCTGTTGCACTTAAAAGGCAGAGGCAGCATTGCAGGGTCAGGCAAACATCACGGGCTTCTACTGGGAGGAAGGTGCATTCTGAGGTATCCTTTGGGGCACCAGCAGGACTGGGACTCCTTTCTGGCCCTCTATCCACAATCCCATGCGTGAGGGTTGAGTAGCTGCTCATTTGCTGGGAGGTCCAGGAGGCTGCTTGCTACCTAGGCTCCCACCAGCCCAGGCTCTGTCTCACCACCCCTTTCCCCCAACCCTAGAAATTTTCTGCCTTTTGTTTCAGAATAGTGGAGTCAGCAGGCCTTGGAGCTCAAGATGGTCCTGAGTGGGGCGTTGTGCTTCCGGTGAGTGTTTGGACCTCTGAGTGGGTGGTTCCTTCTGGGTGAAGTGAGTTCTGGGTAGACCTGTTGTCCAGAAGGAAGAAACTACAATTGTCTAGAGCTGGGCTTTCCCAGGTAGAGCAGGTCACCGGGGCATTGTGGTCAGTGCCAGACTGTAGCAGGACTGGGGCAGGCCTCTTCCTGAGGGCTCCCTGATGCTAGTGATGACAAGTGAACTTCTGGGTGTAGCATAACAGCTTAGAGCATCCATAGTGAGAGTGGGGGCTCAGCTGCCCAGTGCCTTCAGCCAGACTAATCTGTGCCATCACTTCCCTGTTGTCACACCATTGGTGACAAACACTGGAACGGGTACATTGCTGTGCTCCACACTTCACAGCAGTGGAAGATTTTCAGTAGTAGCTGGGGAATCAGACTTTAATCAGAAAGAGGTCTGGCTACTTTCTAATCCATTGTTTTAGTGTAGCCTTGGGGACACTCAGACCCAGTGAAGGTGAGTGATGTGTCTGTGGTCACCCAGCTGCAGTGGCAGCACAGCAAAGATGAGAACCCAGGCTCCAATGCCCAGTTCAGCATCTTTCCAGCACAGCACATGGAAGAGATTGATTAGAGTTGAAAATAATGAGCAAACCCCAGACTCTGAGAGGAAGCTGTGGGGTCATCCTACAGGGAGGTGGCAGACAGTCTAGGAGACAGGACTGAGCTATGACATCCAGGAAAAAAGGAAGAGTAAAGGTCTGAGATTGGAGCAGCCTCCTGGAGCACCCACCACTCCTCTCACAGTCCATTCTCTTCCTATGGTTTCAGAATGAAGGATTCCGCCTTGAAGGTGCTTTATCTGCATAACAACCAACTTCTGGCTGGAGGACTGCATGCAGGGAAGGTCATCAAAGGTTGGTGACAAAGCACCTTGGCTTGCTCAGGTCTCTCTACACTCTGGGGAGGCCTTGGAGCAACTGGGCAGTGCATCCAGGCCAAGCACAGTGGACAGAGCAGCGTAGAGCAGGCTGCCAGCAGATGGAGGACCCCAGCCCCGAGAACCCTCGAAACTTCTATGCACGGGTGGGACCCTTTCCAGAAAGAGTGACTTGCTGGTCCTTCACCAGTTAGACTTGGACCAGATGTTCCATTTCCCTGGGGACTCAGGGTTGAAGAAAGAGCTAAAGTAGGCTCTCCATCTGTCTACTGCCCATGGGGTGGGGCTGGGCTTCTGTCTCTCCACCTGGGGCCCTTGCTGAGGATTCTCACTGGCACAGAGTGGTGGCACCATCTGTTCTCTTCCCTACCCACCTCTGCCACACACACACTATGAAAACTCGGTAACAATACACTCTTGTCCATCTGGGGTAAACTTATGTCAAGCATCCAAGTACATGTATGTGTGTGCAGGAGAATATATGCATGAGTAGGTTATGGCTATTGAGTGAATATGTGCAAAGCTGCAAGGGTGTATGTGTGTGCCTGGGTAAGCACAGGCAGATACACTGGCATGCTATATGTATGTGTGTGGACATGCATACATGTGTATGTGTGTAGGTTGTGGTTGTGTGTATATGTGCAGTTATCTGTGAGTACATGTATATGCTTGTAATGTGTACATACATGCATGTATGCGTGTGAGTATGGGGGTGAGAGGGACTGAGCAGAAACAAATGAGACTTTAAAAAGGTTTATTTTAATTTTTGGTTAAAAAAGTAGAGTTTACACAAGGAGACAGAGAGATCTTTCATCCACTGGCTCACTCCCCAATGGCTGCAATGGCCAGAACTGAGCTGATCCAAAGCCTGGAGTTTCTTCCCAGTGTCCCACGTGGATGCTCAAGCACTTGGGCCATCCTCTGCTGCTCTCCCAGGCCATAAACAGGGAACTGGATGGGAAGTAGAGAATCCAGGACTGGAACTGGCACCCCTATGGGATGTCAGTGATGTGGGCATAGGCTTAGTCTACTATGTCACAAACCTAGTCCTGTAATGAGAACTTCTTATGCTGTGAGGAATCTCACAATGGATATATAAAGTTGTCCAGCAACCCCAGTAGAAAGTTCATCAAGAGAAGGAAGTCTCGGGAATAAGGCCTAAATGCCAAGGGTTCTGAAATCTACTTTGGAATTTAGAGAAGACTTGAAGACTTGTCCCTGAGCCAGACTGGGAGTGGGCCAATGTGATTCTGTGCCTCAATGTCCTCTCTGGGCCAGCAGGCGGGAAACCAGCCTTCCTAGCATGCAGCAGCTGTTCAGAGGCCACCTTATCTCCAGCTTATGACCAGAAGGTCTGACCTCGATCCTGCCCCTTAGCGGCCAGGAGGTTGGGAAGGCAAAGCAAACAGAAGTGCAGTCAAGTTCCTTTGCCTCCTTTCTCTAGGAGAAGAAATTAGTGTTGTCCCCAATCGGTCACTGGATGCCCGACTCTCCCCAGTCATCCTCGGTGTCCAAGGAGGAAGCAAGTGTCTGTCCTGTGAGATGGAGGAGGAGCCGACTCTGAAACTAGAGGTGGGTGAATCCTACTGTGGCATCCCTGCCCACCAAAGCTGGGTGCCCTGTGCTCTGGGGCTGGTCAGGACAGCCTGGGAGGGCTCTGTGGATTGCAATTGTGACTGCTCCTGTTACTCCCTGCTCCTGCCTCTCACTCACCCTGCCTCTCTTCCTGCAGCCTGTGAACATCATGGAACTCTACCTTGATGCCAAGGAGTCCAAGAGCTTCACCTTCTACCGGAGGGACATGGGGCTTACCTCCAGCTTTGAGTCAGCTGCTTTTCCAGGCTGGTTCCTCTGCACTGTGCCTGAAGCAGACCAGCCTGTCAGGCTCACCCAGATCCCTGATAATGCCGCCGGGGATGCCCCCATCATGGACTTCTACTTCCAGCAGTGTGACTAGGATAACCCTCCTTCCATAACCCCACCTCTGCCCAGAACTCCCTGGGCAGGGCCAGCTGGAACAGGAGTGGGGCTGGAGGAGAGAAATGATGAGTGAGACCCCTCTCTGGGCTCAGGCCCCCCATCTCTGACTTCCTAGCCTTGCTCTCATTTCCTGATCCTGAATGTGTGGGCAAGTTCTTCCAAGATTTGGGGCTCTGTACAGTTTTCTTGTCTGTTGAGTGGTGCTACTGATGTGGAAGGGTCTTTATGCTCAACAGCAACAGGCCCAATTCCCTTGATCCCCACTTGAGTCTCACAGGGCTTCCTACTCACCATATACAGCTCTGCTGTTTGACACCACACAGAGAGAGGAAGTCATGGGGTTACTGAAGCAGGGTCCACAGCCTGTCCACCTTCCCATTCATCCTGCCAGCACCTGCTGCCTTTTCCATCATCTTCTAACGATAGGCAAGAAAGGGCAGTGGTGTCCAGGTAAATTCTGCAACTTAGAAGGCAGACGATGGACAGATGCTAATTCCTGTGCTCATGGGCAAATGCTTGTGACACAGTGAGATGAGTTATAACATAATGCATCTTATAACCTCATTTTAATATTTAAAAATGCTGTGCATTTCTGATTGAAAAAATCTGGAAGATTTATGTCAGTTGTGGCAATATCAGGATGGTGGCAAGATAGGTGACATTTCTCTTGTTCTTATTTATTCATATTTCCTTATTTTGGTACAACAAGGAGGGAGCCCTTATATAATGACAAGAAATGTCATTAATCCAGCAATCAGAGTTCACCTCATTGCTTAGTCATCTTTAAGCTGCTACTTTCCCGAAATGAGATGCAAATGAAATTGAGTTCTACTGTTCTGGCAGCAAGAGCTGGGAGCAGGAAAGAGATCTCCCATAAAACCCCCAAGGAGAAGCAAGTGGCGGGCGTGTATGAATGGACTCTCTTGGGTAAAGAATTTATAAGAAATCAAAGTCCTATGCTTTAGCCTTTGAATGGTCACAACCTCTCAACTTCCAAGATTTGGAGTCCAGCCAGCAAGAGGATTGCTATGCTGCATGAATTATGCCTCCCTCTTCACATTCCTCTCAGAACTTCATGCTGTGGCCTTATTTAGGAACATGATCATTGGAGCTGCAATTCATTAAGCCCGCGTCACACAGGAGTAGAGTGGACCTAAACCTAAGATGACAGATGTGCTTGGAAGAAGAGGAGACACACAGAGAGAGGAAAAGATGTGACAACAGAGGCAGAGATGGTAGTGGTGCTGCCACAAGTTGAGCAGTATGAAGGATTGGGGCAGCTACCAGAAGCCAGGGAGAAGAGAAGGGAGGCTCTTTCCCTTGGGGTCTTCAGAGGGCATGGCCAGCTCGACCTTGGATTTTGGACTCGTGGTCTCCTGAATTGTGAGAGAATAAATTTCTGTTATGGTAAAGCCATCACGTCTGTGGTGATTGGCTCAGAAGTCCTGGGAAGGGAGGTTGGCTGTGGCTGACCCCTCTCTCCAGGTGCTCACTCCCTGTAGGAAATCCTGCCCACACTGTACCAGTCATCTCCGTGACCCAGGGAATATGGCAGAAGTGATGATCCACCACATACAAGGTTGAGTTACAAGACACTGGTTTCATGCCTCTTTCCTTTCCCTCTCTCTCCTTTCATCCCCCCTCCCCTCATTCCCTGGCTCCCTTGCTCCCTTCTTTCCTCTTGAAAGCTAGCTGTCAAGTTGGAAAGAACCCTGTAGTGAGACTCTGTAACACAAAGTGAGCCCCCTACTGGAAGCCCCATGGGTGAGCTTGCAGGGTTGGGAAATTCATCCTCCAGCCATGTCAGCCTTCAAGGTGCCAGCACCCAGTCGGCAGCCCTGACGGCAGCCTAATGAGGGGCTGTGGCAGAGAGAACTGTGGACTCAGCTGCCCCAGATTCCTGCCTGCTAGACTGTGAGAGAAGCGATGGTTGTTGCTTCAAGCTGCAAAGTTCTGGAGTAACCTGTTATGAAGTAATAGATAATTAACACCCAAGAAAAAGGAAAGGAAATGCATTTATTTACTATCATTGTAATTATCCCCAGTATTTTTCCATTCTCAAAATAAGCAACAGCCATTTTGTGGACCCAAATGTTCTGTTGTTTTTTTCTTTTTCCTTTTTTATCTGAAAGGCAGATTTACAGAGAGAAAAAAGAGAGAGAGAGAGACAGAGAGAATCTCCATCTGCTGGCTCACTCCTCAAATGGCTGCAATGACCAGAGTTCAGCCAGGAGCTTCTCCTGAGTCTGCCACTTGGGCTCAGGGGCCCAAAGACTCAGGGCATCCTTTGTTGCCTTCCTAAGCCATTAGCAGGAAGTCAGATTGGAGAGGTGGAGCAGCCAGAACTTGAACCAGAGACCATTTAGGATACTGGCAGTGCAAGCTACTATGTCATGGCACTGATCACCCAGAATACATTTTTAAAAAAGCAAATCATACTAATTGTGTTGAATTGTCTGCTTGTACAGCACTCAAATCCTCTCTATCTTTGTACCAGGAACTCTTCCTAGTATGTCTGTCTAAACCTTGAGGGACAAGCGAGCAGGCAGAGGAGAGACCCATACCTGTGCTTCCCTGGTTGAACCAGTCTAACAGGCTCAGTGTCGGCTGAAGGGTTAGCATGGAGGTGGCCAGGATAGAAGGAGCTTTCTCAATGGGCTTCAGTAGCACATGCCCAGATGCTGGTGCTGAAGTCCTTGGGCAATGGGCGTCCTCTTGAGTTTGTTGGGAATATGGGCTCCAGGTACCATGCTGTATTTCTGCAGACCCAGGCCACATTCTTTGTTTGTATGCTGAGATACAGTCTCATGTTTCTTTCCCTATCCTTTCTGTACAGAGAAATCTTTCATATTTCAATACCCTGTTAACATGACACATCCCCTTGAGAAGGCTTTGTTGAAATGAAGTCCTTAATTATCTGCTCTGTTTGTGCCACTGTAAGGTAGCAGGTTGCAGCACTTGGGCTGGGGAAGTATGTGACCCCTAGAATAACCTCAAGGCTAGGGCTGGCATAATAGCTGGCAAGGAATGGAGCCATAGTAAGTATAAAATGTGCAAACTATTTCTCCACCCTGGGACATTGTCTCCCTTTCCTCTACCAATGAAATTTGTAAGAGTGCAGTTCAAATTTCATCTCATTTTTGGAAGTTTTTCCAGCTTGAGTAGTTGCATCAATGTGGGATGACAAAACAATAGCATTAACTAGGATGAGTTAACACTTGTGAGTCAATTGTAAGCGGGAAGTATTAAGCAGTTTATTGTAATGTAAATCTAAAAAATGTTATCTCAAAAGTTAAGAAAAAAGAAAAACGGAGAAGGAAGAAAGATGGGAGGGAAGGAGATAAGTAATATCATGTTCTTAAAATTAAAGCTACTATAACTCACATTGAATTCCTTAAATGCTAGTTAGAAATTAAACTTAGATAGTAAATGGGGAACATGAAGAAGTACCTTTAGACTGTATGGGCTGGCACCCTACAGCTTTAGATTGCTGAAGTTTTGGTATAAACCACTGGCCTGGGCCTATATTATAGAGGTTTGTTATCTGTTTTGTAAGGCTCATGCCAGTTGTAGGCACTAAGGAATAGGCAAAATCTGAAGGGAAGAAGCCAAGTACTAAGGGTCTTTAACCCAAAGAATCAACATGCAAGGGGCGCCCTTTGAGAAGTCAAAGATGTGCTGAGTAGAATATACTTCTCTGTAATTCCAGCAAGCACAAACAGAATATGATGGTTGAAATTATATAAAGGCTGCTTCCTCCCACATGAGTCCAATGTTTTAAAAGGTTTATTTATTTGTTTATTGATTTGTTAATTAATTTGAAAGGCAAAGAAAGAGAATCTTCCATCCATTGGATCACTTTCCAAATGGTTGCAACAAGGGAGGCTGGGCCACACAGAAGCCAGGAGTCTATAATGCCATCTGCATATCCTACACGGGTGGATGGATGCATCTTCTGTTGCTTTTCCTTATGCATTAGTGGGGTGCCAGATCTAAGGTGGTGCAGCAGGGGCTCAAATTAGTGTCCACATAGGATGCTAATGTTGCAGGCAGCAGCTCAACCTACTGCACCACAATGTGAACACCATGAGTCCCAAATTTCAACCACATAAATAGCAAAAGCACAATTCATTGCTTATTCAAGAGATTATGTGGTCTCTAATCCTGCAAGTGTTGTGGAAGAGCCTAGCTAATCTACTTCTTCAGGATTCCATAGCATAAGTTGTCACATTTGCAAGGAGAGTATGATGCCATGTCTCAGGCCATTTCAAATTTTAGAATCTTTTGGTAACCAGAGTTTTTCTACTACTTTTATCTCCAACATGCTTTTGGTCCACAGCTTAGAAAGTCTAGTCTTTTTAATTATCTTTTCAAGGGTTTAGCTTCCCCAGCCAGGCTGTAAAGCTACTTAACAACAGGGACTGTGTATTGTATGTCTTTGCCACATGGCAGTATAAAGGCTTGGTAAACACTCACTGATTACCTGATAGAATACACCATGCTTTGACCCTTCCCACATTGGAGAGAGGGACTGAGAACGCAATAATATAACCCCATTTTGTCTTGTTTCTCATCCTGTAAGTACCTCAGTCTTGCCATGACCCATTCTACTTCTTCACCAAGCCCTCCATGGGATTTTGCAAAGAGTTCAAGAGGGACAATTACAATAGGATTATTGGTCTGTATGCAACCATATGCCTAAGGTTTTTGTGTCCCTTGGGATGGATGAATGGAGGGACAAATGGGTAGACAGACAGACAGGTAGGTAGACAGATGGGTGGATGAGTGAATACCAGAGTGAGTTAATTAATGTCAATTAGAAGCTTGAGTATGTTTTATCGCTGTCTTGCTTACACTGTCATATTCCTTAGTAGCCCAGGGAATATTATCCTTACCCATCTAAGGCCATTGAATCTAAGATCAATGTCTTCTGCAGCTGGTTAAAAACATGCGCTGTCACATGGAACCTATTGAAAAGCATAGAGTCCGCTCCCATTTTTCCAATAGAATCACACTTATGATGCTGTCAGCCTGTGCTCTCACTCTGGCTGTCTGACTGTACCTAACTCCAGGCACCAGAGGTTTGTGTGTCTTTGGAGCTTTCAGACATAGTCTCTTTTGCGTCCACCACCTCTACAAGACAAGGATGGAGCCTATGGGCACCTAAGACGTCTGACCTCCACACTGTTTATTTGGCTGCTAAACTACTAATAATACAGTCAATGACAGTAACTACAGAACAATTTGCCCAGTGCCTAGCCTCTACCAAGGCATTATGGCTGACTCTCTCCCCCTTCAACAAACACTCATTAATGTCCCCACCTTTTTATTATCTCTACTGTGCTCAAGACATTGTGAAATGCAGAGCCCAGAGGCTCTTCTTCCTCCCCTTATAAGAGCCAATCGCAGAGATTGCTGCTGACCTGATCCACCCTGAGCAGATGGTATAAACACAGTGCAAGTGCCTGGCAGAAGTCAGTCGGAGGTTCCAGGCATCAAGGTTCCGGTATCCAGGATCAGCAGGTCAGTCTCATCTCTCCTTCTGTCTCCCTTCTGTCTGATTTCTGATGTGTAACCCCCATACATTCCTCTTGGCAAGCAAACTCTCTAGGTAACAAGATATCCTCACCACAGAGCATGACATGTTAAATATATCTGGCAGCATATAAAGAAGAATTTGAAGAGAAGTTAAGTCAAGATTGTTAAATATTTAGAACTGCAGATATATTAGTAGTCTATTTTCTGTTACTATGAACAATACAGGAGGCTGGGTAATATAGAAAGGAATGTGGAGTTTCATCTATCTCACTGTCCTGGTAGCTGTAAATCTGAGATTGGGTGATTGTTGTGCACAGCCTCTGATGAGGGCACTCTGAGCTACATCCCAACCTGGTGGATGATGTCAGGGTGAGAGTGTGTACAAGAAGGTGAGGTCATTTAGCAAGAGAGGAAGCGAGTCCTTTTATAACAACACACCTGGAAAGTAACCAGGTCCTGCAAGGACTGTACTAAACCTTTCCAAGAGCAGCACCCTAGTGACCTCACCACCTCCCACTAGGTCCGACCTCCTCAACACTGACACCCTGGAGCCCAAGAATTCGGCACATGAACCTTCAGGAGGACAAATCACACCCAACCATAGCATAGATTGTAGAAAGTAATGTCGGAAGAAATTGTCTAGGCTGGTCATATGCATTCAGTATTTAGAGAAGCTTGAGAATTCCTTAGAGATGTCCTCCTTGCCCGCTTCAGTAGGCAAAGTAGATACTAGGGTGTCTCCATCACCCCTTGCTTTGGCACAAGCAGGTCCCCTTTATCCATTAAACATTCATTAGGTTCTGTATAAAATTTCATTGTGAAAGTTAAAATAATTTGGAAAGCTACAGTTCACACCCATCTTCTCACTCCAGTGAGGATAAGTTGAAGTTCTAGGGATAGAGCTAGAAGACAAATGGCTGCAGAGCTGTGTCTGGAACCCAGCCTTGACACTCAAAGTCTGCCATGTGCTTCCACGTCCTTCTCATAGGTTCCAATGTATGTCAGACAAGGTGATTGCAAGGAGCTTCAAGTGAACTATGAGCTGTGCCTCATGACTTCAAAGCTTTGCTGATTTCTACAAGAGGAAAGTGCTTCAATATGTAATAATACACAATATAACAACATTTAGTAGGAGTTGAAGTAGCATTGCAATAGTCAGGGTAAGATCTATTAAACACTGAGTCATAGACTCATGGATGGTCTGACCTAGAAAGAACCTTAATAACCACATAATCTAATCATGTTGATTTATAGGTGTTGAATCTGGACATTGGAGGTTAAGTGGCATGACCCTGAATGCCTGAGTTGATAATTAACTTGACAGAACTAGATGCTGAATCCATATATACTGATAGGATGTCTAGTGATCTTAATGCTGAAAAATATGAATGGAAGGCAATGAGGATGGATGGCTTCTGGGGAAAAATCAGAAGCAACTGAGTCTGTCTACAGAGTGTAAGATGCTGTATTGCTTGCAGAGGTGGTGTGGTGTCCAATTGAGATGCTATCATACAGGTAAATCAGGGCCAGATTATTGCAAAATGGGTGGCCATTATAGATCCCAGAGCTGGGCAAGGACACAGTGAAAGAATCGCTGAGAATGTAAGCCTGCATACCTAAGTTGGGTTGTATGGAAGGCAGAAAAGCCAAGAATGCATACTATACAGTTGTTTTGTCAATAAAGAACACAGATTTCTATTTTAAAGGGATAATCTACTGGGAGAGATTGATAACTTAGACATAAAACTAGGAGATGCAAGAGAGGTTATCTGTGATGTTCCTTAAGTTTTGAATTTTGCTACTGAGAGGACTGTTCTAGCAAGGACTGAAATGAAATTGGGAGAGATCCTTGGGTTGGGAGGAGAAGATAACTCACTCAACCTCAGATACATTACACTGTGCATTGGCAGAATGTACTAAGAGGGATGTCTTGCAGACTGCTGGAGACAAAGCAGGAAGTTCAGTCTGGATTTGGAAGGCATTAGCTAAAGATGATGATTGCAACTAGAGAGATTCGTGGATTGCAACCCTATGGGATATGAGATTGAAGTGCTTAGGACTTTGTTTTATAAACCTCAATCTTAGGGACAACCCCCAGAAGGAAGAGTAATCTGCAGTGGGCCTAAAAAGAACAGAAGGAGAAGAGAGGAAGGAACCAGCCAAATCAAGGTTTCCAGGAGACAGTGACCAAATATTCAAAGAAACAATAATCTTTAGGGTTGGCTCCATGGAAGATGGTTTTGGAAAGAGCAGATCTCACATAGCTAACTAATGTGTAGGAACATGAGGAGAGAATAGGACAGGTGCAATGTATAAAAGAACATGGAGAAAGCCTAGGGCTATTAGGCAGTGGTGTTTCGTGCTGGACTGATAAATTTAGGTTTCTCCGATAGCCAGACTGTGGCTGTGGAGAACCAACAGGAGGAAATGAGGGATACGGGCCGCCATCCAATAAGAAAAGGAAAGCTTCCAGATGAGATGTGTGAGGCAGAAAAGGAGAAGAGCCTCAGGATCCCTACTTCTCTGGTGGATCAGCACAAGGGTGTGTTGACAGGCTCTCTGTAGTAGTGCATGCCAAACCATTTCAGATACATCAGGAGGGCTGCAGGAGACCCTGCCTGCTCCCACTAAAACTAGAGACTCCCCTCAGTAGTGCTGCTCTGCCTCTGCTCTGGCCTTGGGGACGTTCACCTTCTCATGGGTAGGAGGATTGGAGTGTGCGGTAGGCTGCAAAGTGGAACTGGATTCACTCCCAAATGTCTGTCCCCATGTCCACCTACCCTCATCCTCTAACCATCTTTCCTCCCTTCAGGTACCACCAGACGTCCTGCCACTATGTGCTCCCTGCCCATGGCAAGATACTACATGTAAGTCCTGCTGTGTCTCTACCACTATCCCAGGCAGGGGTCTGGGGATCTGTACAGAAGGGAAATGATGCTGGGTCAGAGCCACACGGCTCACCTCAGAAATCTCAGGAGTCCCAGGGTGAAGCTTCCTCTCATCACAATGACAAGAGCCCTGCGTCCCGAGATTCCCCCCAATGCCAGCTGCCATTAGAAAGCCACCAGGAGACATCACTAACACCATTCTATAGATCTTGGAAGTGAGATTGAAGGCAGTTAGACGGCTTCCCCCATGGGTCACAGTGGCCAAAAAGCTGAGCCCAAATCAGGCTCCACATCCTTTTGGAAGGGGCAGACACAATTCTAAAGCTGGGGGACAGTGATGGTGACTCCGGCAGCAGTAATTCCCAGCCTGGTCTCCACTCCGGTCTGCATTTTGCCTTATTCCAGATTAGAATCCTTTTGTTCTAGTTGACTGCTTCATTGGTTCCCTCATTCTGACAGTTTCCCCCAGTGATGAAGGTAGAAACTGCTGCCTCTGAAGAGATGGGGCCCAGAGGCTCTCCCTTGCCTGAAAACTGACAGGCTGGATGGGGGTGGGAGGGCAGAACCATGACCTGTGCTGTCCTGTTCCAGAATCAAAGACACAGACCAGAAGGTTCTGTACACAAGAGATGGCCAGCTCCTGGTGGGAGATCCTGATGCAGACAGCTGCACTGCAGGTGAGCTGCCAACAGATCCCCCTCTGCATCTGCCATTGGGCTGCCTTCTTGCCTTCCCTCCCACAGCCAGAGGGCCAGTGCAGAGGCTGCATGCAGTGACAAGCAGCTGTGCCCTCTTCCAGTTAGTGGACATGGCCCCAACGGAGTCCAGGCTTGCCCTGCAGCCTGCACTGAGGATACCAGGTCTAGTTTCTCTGTTCAGTGAGACCTGTGAGGTGCCATGCGTTCATCTCCTGGCTCTCTTCTCTCCTCTCATCCCAGAGAAGATCTGCATACTTCCCAACCGAGGCCTAGACCGCACCAAGGTCCCCATCTTCCTGGGGACCCAGGGAGGGAGTCGCTGCTTGGCATGTGTAGAAACAGAAGCCGGACCTTCGCTGCAGCTGGAGGTAAGACACTCCTCCTCATCCAGGACGGAGGGGATACTGCACACCTGGCCTGAGCCCTAGGATGCTTTGGCACCTGTACACCCATCTGTGGGTTCCCAGACAGCTCCCTACGGATCCCAAGACCCTTGTCCCTGGGTCTGCAGAAAGCAGCTCCCTGGGAAAAGCACCTCTCTGGTATCGTTCTTTGACTATGCGCTCCCAAGCCCCTCTCTCCCACCAACTACCCCGCCCCCCGGCCTCCTGGCTATAGTCTTCCTTAGTTCCATTGTTCACTCTGCAGGATGTGAACATTGAGGACCTGTACAAGGGTGGCGAAGAGGCCGCACGCTTCACCTTCTTCCAGAGCAGCTTGGGCTCTGCCTTCAGGCTCGAGGCTGCTGCCTGGCCTGGCTGGTTCCTCTGTGGCCCGGCTGAGCCCCAGCAACCAGTAGGGCTCAGCAAGGAAAGTGAGCATTCAGGACGCACTGAGTTCTACTTTGAGCAGAGTCGGTAGGACGACAGGGAGTCTGCTGCTTCCAAACTAGCTCATTCCACTTGGAATCTGTGGGAGGAAGAATGATGGTGCTTCCCCAAAGATGTCACATCTTAATCCCCAGAACCTAAGCATGTGTTCTTGAACACAGCAAATAGGACTTGGCAAATGTGATTAAAGATCCTAGGTTCTCCAGGTGAGACCCATGGTGACAGTGAGGAAGGAGGGTGGGGTGAGAGAGAGGTTGGAAGATGCTCTGCTGCTAACGCTGCTGGTGGAGAGATGAGCCAGGGCCAGGAGGTGCAGGTGGTTTCTGAAAAAGGCAATGGGATAGATCCTCCAGGATGGCAAACTAATAAACCTGTGCTGTTTGAAGTCACTGTGTTAGTGGTTTGTTTGTTTGTTTGTTTTTTACAGCAGTGTTAGGTCATTACTCCAGGACCTCAGTCGGCCCTGTGTGCACTGGTCAGTGTAAGGGATAAGCTGCATTAGTGTTCTGCTTGGAAAGCTTCCCACTGCTCCTCTGGGACATGCAGAGCTGAAGGTCATGGTGGAATCTGCCAGTAGAGGCAACCTGTTCCATGTGAGAATGTCAACATGAACTTGGCTGAGGGCATGCCGTGGGGACTGGGACTCATTTTCAGAGCCTCAATCATTCTCCATTTCCTAGGGAATCTGTGATCAGGCTCAAGCCATGGAATTGGAACCCAGAGACAGGACTAGCTGCTGGTACTGCTCTGCTCATGTATATCCACTCAGCACACACCCAACACATTCTGAGTTTTTATTGTGGGCAGAACCTGAGATCAATGTCTATCCTCCAAATGACTATACCAGGCAACTGTTACCTCCACTGTACTGATGAGGAGAGGGAGTCAAGAGAAGTGAAATTGCCTAAACTGTAACTGTTGGAGTTCAAGATCAGACCCAGTGTATCTTACCATGACCCAAGGCATTCTACAGATTTTTATTTCCCTGCAGGAAATGGAGATAGTCCGGTGAACAAAACCAGACTTCCTTCCTTGGAGTTGGGTATGAGAAACACTAAACAAGAAAAAAAAAAAAAAAAGACAATTTACATGATCAAAGCAGAGAGCAGTGGTGTTCAGTGGGAACATGGGGCAGGGTGGTGGCAGGAGCTCTCTTTGTGGGAGCTCCCATTGTAGAAGTTTTATTGAGGAGGTGACACTGAAGACGAAGGACTGGCAGGAACTGGGATTTGGAATGCTCCAGGCAGAGGAACAGGTAATACATCCATCCTGAGATAGAAAGGTGCTGGTATATTCAGGTGAGAGCAGACAGTCATGAGGGGAGCAGGGGTGGCTGGGTGCTTGGAGGCAAAGGAGGGGAGGAACCGAGCAAGATCAGCACCCAGGAGTCCTGGAGAACCCTGAAGGTAAAGCAAGGACTTCAATGTATTTCAGTGTGGATGGGAAAGTATGGGAAAACTTGGCTGAGAAAGACTTGACGCTTCACAGCTCTGCCACATTTAGGTTCTTTCCCAAGCTGTCCTTCCCCAGCCTGCCTGTGACCCTAAGTCGCCTTGTCACCTGACATGATAATGTGTGCTCTGTGCTTTTGGAGGCAGATTCTGCCTTTGCATCGGTGCTGGCCAGAACACTGCTGAGGCATAGGGAGGCAATGAATTAGTACAGAATCCTCAACTAGCAGGAAGTTCACCACATCACATGAGGAGGGCTGGGATAGCAAGTGGACCAGATGTGTGGCAGCATGGTGGTGCAGCAGGCAGGGATGAACCTGGCAAGGATTCAGCAAGGAAAGCACATTGAATCTGGGCCTTGGAGGAGTTTTCCAGGTGGCGAACACAGAGATGGGCATTGCAATGAGGAAGCACCCCCTGGGAAGGTGTGCTGGGGTGTGGTGACTCATCAGTGAGGCTGGCACCCAGGGCCTGTGGCTGCACAGCTCATGTGCATACAGATGGGGGAAAGGGTGGGGTCCGGATGCCTTGTGAGGGAGTTTAGATTTCATCCAGAGGAATCACCCTGAGGAGTGCAGTCAAGCAGGGCGGGGGATTTGAAGCCTGCACCCCTGAAATCAATGTTGGCCTGACTTCAAAGCTGCTAAGGCTTTGGCTCATCAAGCATCTTCCTCCTACTCCTTCCCTCTTCCTCCTCTTTTTCTCCCTTGCCTTCTCTTCTAACCTGCCCTGGGGTCAGCTTCAGTGCTCTAGTTGGACTCTCCGTCTGACCCATGCTTTGTCACTGTGGCAGGCTATCTCCTTGGCTCACTTGCTCCAAGATAAACTTAGGCCTGCTGAAGTTGTAGAGGATGTCTTTGATCAGGCTGTGAGTCATGAGCTCATCAACAATTCAGAGCTCCACTGGGCAGGGAGAGAAGGATGTGAGGGAGACTTCTGGAGGATGCCTAGGAAACAATACAAAGAAAATACCTTTTTTTTTTTTAAATAAACACTTAGTGCCATTTTATTTGAAAGGTAAAGAGACAGAAACATTCCATCCACATTAGTTCACTCACCAACAGCCTGCTATATCCAAGGTTGGGCCAGGCAGGAGCCAGGGATTTGGCATTCTGCCTGGATCTCCTAGCTGGGTGACAGGGATTCAAGAAGTCAAGATCCCATCATCTGCTGCTCCCAGGATGTGAATCAGCAGGAAGCTAGACTGGAAGTGGACTGGAACCAAGTGGTCCCCCACAATGTTAGATGCCAGCAACCCAAGCAGCAACTTAACCTCTGTACCACACACCACCCGCAAAGAAAATAAATGATTAGCTGAAGTGGAAAGATTCTAGTTAGAGACTGTGGGGTGGTTTTTGATGGGCTAAAGTTAAGCTTTATTCTTTTAGGATATGAATGATCATTCATTCTGAATTGGGCTTGGATTCACTATCCCAGAGACCTGTGTTTTGGTATAGTGATTTAAGCTATGGTCTGTGATGCTAACATTCCATATGAATACCTGATCAAGTCCTGGCTATCCTGCTTCCAATTAGACTAGAATTAGACTTCCAGTTAGAACCTAGAAAAGCAGCAGAAGATGCCCCAAACTACTTGTACCCCTGCCACCTTTGTGGGAGGCCTGGATAGGTTTCTAGGTTCCTGGCCATTTAGGTAGTAACCAGCAGATGCAAGATCTGTCTGACTCTCCTTTCTTTCTCTGTAGCTTTTTAAAGCTACTTTGAATCCAAGACCCAAATACCATTGCAGCCTAATCACCTCCTAGTAAATTACTTTATCAGATGGCAACTCACTTTTGCTGATTCTTCTCCTGTGAACCTGCTGCATAGAGCCAGGTACACCAGGATCTGCACCAAGCTGGACAGCATCATCTACGTATGTGAAAGCAGCTCACATCTAGTTTATGGCAGTTCTGGATGAGCACTGGGAGGACGAAGGAGACGAAGACTTGGAGGATATGCTCCTTGCTCTTGAGATACCGTGTGTAAAGGGGAGACCCATACCTGTGCTAATGTGTAGTGACTTCTTGCACAGCCCAGGGACACCTGTTGGCATACAGACAGCACTCAGGCAGCTTGGATTCCAATTCTGCAGGACTCTGTGGTGAAGCAGTGATGGAACTTCTGGCTCTGGGGATTGCAAAGCAGGAAGTAGCAGCTCCCCTGTAGGCACAGTGTAGGGAAGCCAAGCACTTTCTTCTCCCACACCTCCAGACTCAGCCCCTATCTACCTTCTCCTTCCTTGGACACTGGCTGGAGTCACAAGAGCTGTTATGATGTCAGTGACTGGGAGAAGCATACTGGAAGCCTTGTCCATAACCCATACTTTGGAGTGGACTAGTAGGTGCAGAGTCAGCGTAAACAGGGAGTTGGAACACACAGTATGGCCCCAGTTCAGTTAGGCACTGTCAGGCAGCTGGTGGTGGGCAGGGTGGCTGTGTGCTCATGTCTATGTGTTGGGGGAGGAGGGTACTGATGGGGTTGGACAGTGTGCATGTGTTTGTGTGCATGGATCCCCATGTGCTCTGTGTGCACGTGAGTACATGTGCGTGTCCACAGCAGACTGAAGGTGGAGGCTCCGTTTGATTCCGAGGGAGCGTTGTTTCCCTGCATATTTGTAAAATGTATAGGCACTCCACGAATGACATGCCAAAACAGATTAATGAACATCAGCTTGGGTTAATGTCTTGAGTCTGGAGCACTGACGTTTGGGTTGTATTTATATATTTCTAGTTATAGTTTATGTCACTTAAGGGACTTATTATGATTTCACCAAAACAGTCTATCCACAGAGCAAATGCCAACCTGCACTGAAAAGGTACAAATTCTAAGCAATCCAGGAGTAGGATTCCCAGCAGCCATTTCAGAGGCAGTGTAATCTTTGGACTGCAGGTGGCGACAGAGATCAACTGTGCCAGTGACTGAAGGTTGGGCCTGGGAGCTGTCATTAAAGAGAACTTAACTCTGCCAATGCTTATTCTCTCCTGAACAGCAACCTCTGTGCCCCAAGTTTCTACCTCTTTATAACAGCATGTGAAACTTGAACACATGCCAACTTTGCAGAGCCCTGTGTGTTCCTTCCTTCTGACAACAACAGCACATTCCTGACATAGCACCTATTTGCTTGGAGCTTACAGATGTGAGACACATGCAGAGTTATGGGATATATTTTTTTTTTTGTATCTGTGTGAAGGAGCACATTACATATTTCCACAGAACAAGGATGCTTCCGCACATTGTTTTCCTGCATACTCATTCCCTCCAAGTCACTTGGGATGCCCTTGGCCCAGCTCCGGTCATGAAGTATGGCAATGGGGGGAGGAGGTGGGTGGGAGCCTTGAGTAATGGCAGAGGCTTTTCTAACTGGAACATTCTGCACAAATGGCTCTGGGGATCTGTTGCCATAGGCCCGATAGAGCAAAAGTAGTGCTGGTCAGGTATCTCCCTAGGGGACACAGGGAACACTTTTCCAACGAGTACGCATGGATTTATGGTCAGGGGAGATAGAAGGGGTTATCTATGGTCTCTTTTTTCTGTATGTCTATGCATTCTCTCTGCCTCAGTCACACTGGCCTCCAAAG